TTGTTTTTTTTTTGCCTGGGTTGGAAGTTTTTTTTTTTTTTTTTTTTTGGATTATATTTCACAAGATATGTGTAGGATAACGTATCTATCATATTTCACAAGGAGTAGGCGAAGTAGAATTACAACTCACACGATTGTCCAATTTCAAGTTCTAATTAGTATGAGCCTTACATAAGTACCATAAAAATATTAGCTGAATTAGGGATACACATGATTGTCCAAATCACTCTCTGTTTTACAAACGCTATCTATCTATCTCTCTCTCTCTATAAAAATAAGAAAAAAAAGGATATATGGTCAGGAATTATATGGTTATGAACATGAAGGACCTTATCCTCTTGTTCCTATTTTTCCATATATATATATATATATTTATATATATGTATATATATGTACATGGAAATTCACATATTAGATTGTTATCATCAATTTGGGCTATACATTCGAAAAAGAAAAAGAATCTAATGTGACAAGTCGAGTGAAAAGAACCTAATTTGAGCTGTATATATTGGTCTCGTTCGTTTTGTGAATTTGAGTTTTTAATTTGAGCTGAGATATGATATTTTTTGAAAACTTTTAACTATAGCAAGAAAAAAAGTTAGATGTGACATTTTTTTAGAACTTTTAACTGTAGAAACGTATAATTGAAAATTCGAATCGATAAAATGAACGAGATTTAGATAACTAAAGTCTAAATGTGCAAGAATAATCTTGACGGATACTTTTTAAAAATGTATATATAAAAATTTTTACATTTTACTCTTGCTCTTGATTCATAACCTTTTTAGTAAGTAATTACACTAATATATTTATCAAAAACAAAAATTAAAAATCCTTCTAGAAAATAAATTCTCCAATTTTTTCAATGTGGGGCCGGGGTGTGTGCGCAAGGAAAGACTCCAATCTCACTCTCAATACTCAATTGGGCCTCCAAAGCGAAAAGAAACTAATCGGACCTCTCTACTCAGTTTGGAGTCTCAGACTTCTCAATGTCCACTCTCTCTTTCTTGTTTTCGCATGGCTCTATGCAACAATATTCATGTGGGAATAGAATGAAATTTATGATTTAGCTTTCATGTAATTGCTCTAATAAAAATATAAATATCGTTACGGTTTATTTTAAATACTTATATGTAAATTTTATAGCGTTTGCACATTCTTTATGAAAATTTGCCATTATTTAAGGAAAAAATGGAAATTAACTCCTCAATATAACCATTTGGCCTTTCAACCTTCACGGCTCTCTCTCGCTCCTCCTATTTTCCAAGAAATTATTTTTCGATATCAGTCAATTTTCTAAAACCCACCAAAACCCCGACTCCGACGGAGATTCGCATTTTCCACCCAACCAAACACCCGCCGTCGGCTGCCCCATGTCCGCCAGTGTCCGCCGTGTGCACAGCACTTTCCAGGTACATTTCCACACCCTCAACTCCTCCCAAATCCTTCGCTCCAAAACCTTCCATTTTTTGGATCAGTTTTTGCCTCTCTCTAGTCCTACTTCCAGCTCTTTGAGCTCCGTCAATCCCAACGAGCGCCGCAAGATCGCTCTTGGGTTGTCGAAGATAATCAAATCCAACAAAGGCTATGTCTTGAAGGGATTTTCTAGAGAGTTCTGTCCAATCTTTCTTGTGAAGATAATGAAATTGTTGGAAACTCGAGAGACTGCTTTTGCATTCTTTAAACTTGCGTTTAGGGACGATTCCGATGCGGTTGTGAGGTCTTGTTGTGTCGCAGCGCATTTGCTGGCGGCGGAGAACCTCCGGTTTCTTGCCCAGGATGTGGTTTCTTGTGTAATTGCCAAAATTGGTTCTAGTAGGAGTAGAGAAATGGTGGAGCTTATGTGGGCAGGTCACTGCAAATACGAGTCAGATTTCTCTGTTCTCGATACGCTTATGCGGGGTTTTTTGAATGCGGAAATGGGATATGAGGCATTGGAGGTTTTCGCTAGGATGAGGGAGATGGGAGTGAGGCCAAGCTTGTCAGCTGTTAACTGTTTGTTTAAGTTGTTGCTTAGAATTGGTGATTATGGTAGTGTGTGGAAGTTATTCCGAGACATGGTTCGTAACGGTCCTAGACCGTGTAATTATACGTTTTGCATGTTGATTCTTGGATTTTGTCAAAAAGGGTTAATGAGAATCGGAGAAAGTTTGTTACATGTGATGCAAAAATTCCATTGTGAACGCGACGTATTCGCGTACAACATTTTGATCAATGCGAATTGCATTAGGGGGCAGACTGCCAAGGCACTAGAGTTGATGTGTTTAATGAGTGCAAGTGGTTGCAATCCAAGTATTGTTACCTTTAATACGATCTTAAACGCCTTGTGTAAGGAGGGAAATGTGGTGGAAGCAAGGAGGGTTTTTGATGGTCTATGTGAAGGTGGTATTTCTCCAAATACCATAATATACAATACCATGATGGATGGATATGTTAAGGCAAGGGATGTTGGTCAGGCAAACATGCTTTATGAAGAAATGAAGAGAAAAGGTATAACTCCTGATGGCATAACCTTCAATATCTTGCTCGCGGGCTATTACAAGTATGGAAGGGAAGAAGATGGAGACATGTTGTTAAGGGATTTATCGATTGCAGAGCATTTTTCTCATAGCTCATTTTGTGATATTTCAATTGCTGCATTGTGTTGGGCCGGTAAATTGGATGAGGCCATGAAATTGTTAGAGAGTATGCTTGAGAAGGGATTACCTCTGAGTGTGGTTTCTTTTAACTCGATAATTGCAGCTTATAGCTGGGCCGGGTTGGAAGAAAAAGCATATGAAGCCTATAAGACTATGATAGGATTCGGTTTAAGTCCATCGTCCTCCACATGTAGTTCCTTGATAATGGGCTTATCAAAGAAGGGGAAGCTAAACGAAGCCAGGGAGCTTTTGTGTAAAATGATAGAGAAGGGATTTCCTACTAACAAAGTGGCTTTCACGGTGCTTTTGGATGGGTACTTTAGGATGGGGGACTTGAATGGCGGACGAAGCCTGTGGACCGAGATGGAACAAAGAGGGATATCTCCTGATGCTGTTGCCTTCGCAGCCTTTATCAATGGACTTTGTAAAGCAGGTTTGGTGGATGAGGCAAATGAGGTGCTTTTAGAAATGACTAGGAAAGGACTGGTGCCTAACAATTTCTTATACAATTCTTTGATTCGTGGGTTTTGTAACAGTGGGAAACTGAACGAAGCATTGCAGTTAGAGAAAGAGATGAGGCAAAAGGGTCTCCTTCCAGATATCTTTACGGCCAATATGATCATTAACGGGCTTTGTAAGCAGGGAAGAATGAAGTCAGCGATCCATGCATTTATGGAGATGGATCAGAATGGATTGAAGCCAGATATCGTTACTTTTAACACTTTAATTGATGGCTATTGTAAAGTGTTTGACATGGTTTCTGCAGATCAGTTTGTGAATAAAATGTACGCGAGTGGGTGGAACCCGGATATAACAACGTATAACATATATGTCCATAGTTTCTGTAGTAAGAGGAAAATAAACCGAGCTGTGAAGATGTTGGATGAACTTGTCGGGGCAGGTGTTGTCCCAGATACAGTAACATACAATACTTTATTGAATGGTGCTTGTGGTGACATACTAGATAGGGCTTTGATTTTAACCGCAAAGCTCCTTAAGATGGCTTTTTTCCCAAATGTTGTTACAACTAATGTGTTGTTGTCTCACTTCTGCAAGCAGGGGATGCCTGAGAGGGCCCTAATGTGGGGCCAGAAGTTGAGTGATATTTCATTCGATTTTGATGAAATCACCTACAAAATAATGGCCAGAGCTTATCATAGCATTGAGGAAGATGCTGATGTTAGAAGAGAAACTTCTAGAAAAAGCCTATTTTTGGATGCCCTTATGTACATTACGTACGATTATTTTAGTAAAAACAAACTGTGTATTGAGGAAGCCCAGAATCCTCTTATGCTAATTGAAAGTAGCCATGGAGGGTCCTGAAAAAGTTGGCTAGCATCAAAATTTTTTGGAAGTTCATATGTTGAGCATCCTTTGCTAGTGAAGTTTAAGTAGCGGTAATGGGGGTTAAGTAGACAGAAGCTTGGCTTTCTGTGACAGCCCGCTTAGAACTTTGTGACTGAAACTGAAAAACACATCAGAGAGAAAGGAGAGGAAAAAGAGAAGTAAAGTTGATGCAATGAGAAGAGATGTGATGGTCTTGCAGGTTGGTTTACCTGCAGACATTAGAGGATTTGGTGGATTCAGTTGAATCTTTGTCTCTGGTATTGTACTCTCTTTCGTGGAAATTGCTCTCTTTACCAGCATATTTCCAGTGTATTTCTGAGTTCTTCATATGTCAACCAGAAGGAATAAGATACCCAGGTCCAATTGTATTCAAAGTGGTTGCTGCTAAAATTGGCTCTTCGAAAAGGCCCAAGTGGTCTTCACTTGGTGTCAGAGTTGATACCTGCAAGTCGCGATGAACTTGGCCGCAGAAAGTTCAATTCTTTAAGGTAATATTTCTCTCCTATACCTTTTTTCCTACTATAGTTATCTGGTGTTTGAATGGTGTTAAATGTCTTATTCCTTTTTTTGGTTTTTTTTTTTTTGGGCTCTCTAAATGTATTCTTCATTGTTATTGCAGGATGGAAAAACTTCAGTAGGTAACCGTACTAAGAGAAAAATTTGGATGCTGTTCTTACCATATCTATCCTCTAGCCACAAAGTTGCTTGACCAAATTGTGAGTTTGATAAATTTTTCTTTCCTTTGCATACGATTTAATTATCAATAAAGGAAGTTTTTCTTATCAAAAAGTTAAAAGTTCGGTACATTTCATTGTTTGCGAGAATGATCAACACATATGTATATGTACGTATACATTTTCATAATTCAATAAACTAGTTGGGAATTGGTGGGATGATGCTTTTGTTGATTTGTTTTGGTCATTTGTTCATATACTTTCATGTACTTTTTTACATTGTTTATATTATTTATTTTTCATAACGTGTTTATTTAATATTGACAGATAAATTAAGCGTACAAAAGCACCTCATTAAGCAAAAGAAAGAGAGGATCAAATGTTATTTGCTAGCATGGATATGCCCTTCCCTTCCAGACATATTTAATGCAGGCAAAACTTTCTGGGTGTTCCTAGCCTTAGGTTCACTAGTTAGTTTTTTGGTCTCCCTCTGTGGCTTTTTGGTTGATTAACAAATTGTAAATTTCAAAGTAAACTAGTGATCCAATGTACCCATAAGGCCATAAACCAAAGTAGTTTTCTCAACTTTTATCCGCTAAAGCACCAATGATGAAGGAGACAATTTAAACCGAGATCCTCACTTAGAAACTCTCCCCACAACTCTATATATACATAGTAAAGGCCAATAAAGGACTTGATTAATCTTGCTGGTAGCATTAACATACAATCAATTAACTTTGGCTCTCTGCATGATCATGAATCTTCTTCTACTAGCACTCTCCACCTGCTCACCTAGTTTGGCCAAATGGGACATTCGTCTTTTCCACGACTCCGCAGGCCCCAACTGACTCTGCCTTGGTTCCGGATCAGCTTGGTCATCGTCAGATGACTCGAGACTTCTGTCGGACAGATTTCCATTGTCTGAAATTTGCATAATCTGCTTCAGCATCTCAACCACCTGGCTCATTCTTGGCCTATCTTTTGCATTCTTTAACAAACAACTATCTGCCAACTTCGCGATTTTTCTTGCTGCACTGAAAGAATACTGGTTTTCAAGCCAAGGATCCATTATCGAGCCGAATTTTTTGCTGTCTGGAGGGAACTGTTTCACCCATTCCAGAAGTTTTTGCTCCGTTCTTGGGCGGTTCCTTTCCAATGACCGTCTGCCTGTAAGAATCTCGTACAACACCACGCCGAAACTCCATACATCACTCTTCACTGTGAGATGTCCCGTCTCAATGTAATCTGGAGCAGCATATCCGTATGTTCCCACAACCTGACCAAACAAGGGTTCTCATCAGCACATAATTGTTTTTCACTTGTTTCTTTTAGAGAGAGACGGGGAAAAAAAAAAAAAAAGTCTTACATAGTCAACATAAGCAATCATTACATATGCTGCAGTAATTGTGAGTCAATCACAAGTAAATTCATTATCGCTTAAGGATTGTTAAAAAACCGTAAATCTGCCATAAATGTTTTATATCAAGGAAGAAAATACTTACTGCAGTTGAAACATGAGTATTCCCAGCCACTGGCCCTTCCCTAGCAAGCCCAAAGTCCGACAGTTTTGGTCTGAAATTCTCATCCAGCAGCACATTTGAGGATTTAAAATCTCGAAATATCACCTTCACCATTAAGATAGCAAAAAAGTAGTGAACAATTATGATCAATTAGCTTGTGTTATGCGCATAAACTGATGTGAGACCGGAATCCGTATGTTGTATAAGAACCATAACTAACTGGCTGTCAGGCATCAACCCAAATCTTAAAAGCCCTGTTTTCCGAATCATCATATCATCTAAAAGAACTAACATGATAAAAATGGTAATACCATACGAGTCAATTCCATTTAAAAGTCAATTTAATTTCAATGGTGATACCAGATGAGTTCTCAATAAGATCAAATATTACCCTTCTAGCACATTCTATAAGAGGAAAACAACTCCATGCACTCAAAAGTTGACCGAATAAAAAGTTTGGACAAACAATTGAATTTATGCTCAGGAAGAAAATTGGAATGATGTTCGTGTGCGTATTTTAATAAGCTGAATACCAAATACTAATGTGTTAGCTCAAAACCTGAACTTCCAATCCTTCGTGCAAGTAAGCCAACCCTTGGGCCGCTCCAAGTATTATCTCTAATCTTGTTTTCCAAGAAAGAGCTGGATAAGCCTTGTTAAAAAGGTGATCTTCTAGACTTCTGTTTTCCATATATTCATAGACGAGTAGCCGTTGGATCCCTCTTTCGCTATCCAAGGAGCAATATCCCACGAGTTTGACAAGATTTGGGTGTTCTACGACACCGAGAAATTGCACCTCTGCCACCCATTGTTTATGACCCTATATGAGAAAAAATATTATTATAGGAAGGTTTCAAAAGAAATCTACCATGAAAATTCTCATTACACAAATACACTATTCATGACATAGATCCAAATCCAACTGAAGAAGTTTTATAGAATAATAAATGAGAACTCCAATATACTTAGGGCCCGTTTAATTCGCTGATTCAAGTTTTTAATTCGAGTTGAGATGTAACTTTATGTGAGAGCTTTTTACTGCAGCAAAAAAGTTAGATATGACTCGAATGATAAAATGAACGGGACCTTAGTCTAGCACCACACAAAAATCAAGAGTCTGGCAATTAGTAATTAATTGAAAAATAGAGAAGTTTACGCATTTCCAATGAACTACTCTTGGAAAATAGTTGAGAAACAATTTCCATAAGCCCGTGAAAAGATGGAATATACTCTCAGAAATCTAGTATACCTGCAAGCCATGACTGTCGAGCTTTTTAATGGCGACGGCGACAGGATCGCCCTTTCCATCAGCAGGCTTAATTGAACCCTTGTAAACACTCCCGAATCCTCCTTCCCCGATCTTAAGGAGCCTACTGAAATCGTGTGTTGCGTGCCTGAGATCGGAGAACGTGAACACGCGCAAATTATGCGCCTTCTCCTCGTACATTTCCGGTATTCCGCGAGGCGAATTAGCCGAGCAGGAAGACTTGATAATCCTATCATCAGCTCCTGAATACTGGGATTTGCTTTGCTCTTTCAGCTCAGGAGCTGACCTTTGTTGCCTGCTCTTGGTTTTGTCCTTGAAATAGTAGAAACACTTCATTGCTAGAATTCAAATGTAGCATCACTTTACTTCCATTGCATCAATTTTACAAACACTGTCATTAAATTTTCAATAGCTTTCGCGTCATTCATTATGTACTCCAGATGGTTATATCTGGTTAAAATTGCTAAACAAGAAAACACTAAAGTCAAAGAAAAAAAACAAAAAAAGTGGTTATTCAAATGGTCAGAGAGTTGACTGGACAACAAAGAAACCAAACAACTACGGAAATCCAAGACAGACTTTGATAGGCCTAGATGAGAAAGCCAACAGAAAGGATTAAGACTTTGATAGGCCTAGATGAGAAAGCCAAAGAACTAACAGAAAGGATTAAGAAAACCCAGATGTTGAAAAGGAAACTCCAGAGAAATGAAAAAAAACCCACACGGGAAATCACCGAAAAACTCTAAAATTGTAGAGAATACGCAATTTCAAGGAACAAGACAAAAAAACCCAGATGGGAAAACATGCAAAGCAAGAAGGGAGCAAAATACAACAGTAAAGAATCAACATAAACGAACATCGCAGAGGAAAAAAAAGAAAAGAAAGAAGAAAGAAAAGGTCTTCCAAAGAGATTACCTTTGAGAATTAATTGTCCTCTAAATACTTCTCTCTCAAAGTTGTTGAGAATACTTGAAGTAGAGATTACCCAAATCTTTAAGAATTCGTTCTGGTTTGGCAGACGGGTATTGACTGACTATGTGGTGACTGTATCACTTTTTCACGGGTTTGGGGTTTTAGAATTCAACGAATCAAATAGATAGGAACGTTTCCAAATCTATTTTCACGTAATCTGTTGTTTAAAGTTGACAGTTACGACTATTTTCTAGAAACGACAATTGCTTTTGCTTGTCCGAATAGAAGAAGAAAGTGACCTTTTTTCTCTCTGTTTTTTTTTTTTTTTTTGTAATTATTTAATGAGTTGAGGCTGTATCAAGTCCCAATGCACACACGAAATGGGGTCCATCCGGTGGAGGTTGACAATTGACATTTGACATCTGACTAGCTGAGTCATTTTTTTTCCCTCTTTATTGCTAGAGCCTAGAAGGTTGTTAACATGGGCTTGAGAAAGTATAAAAATCAGTAAAGAATTTATGGGACAAAATCACTAAAATTAAAAATTTAAGGGACAAAATAAAAGAGTTTTTAAAGAATGATTCAAGCCGAGCTAAATAGTACTAATATAAAGCGGTGCATGATGTATACAAGCGAAGTTGATTATTATTGTCAACATTCAGAGAAACATAAAATAAAATCAATCCACCTCGAATTTAATAAAAACCCAGGTATTAGCGCTTGAGATTTGAGAGTAAAACAAAAAACAAAAAAACAAGAAACATGCGCTTTGGGCCTTTGTAGGATTTTACGTTCTCAAGAAATATCACGTTAAACACTTTGTCGTGCCTTGTTGGGTATTTATAATTTTTTTAAAAAAATTTTGATAAATACTTTTTAAAAATATATGAATTTTATTCTTGCGGTCCGTTTAGTTCACTGATTTAAGTTTTTAATTTGAGTAGAGATGTGACTTTATGTGAAAGTTTTTTACTGGTAAAAAAATTAAATGTGACTGTTTCTGAGATATTTTTACTGTAGTAAAACTCAAATTTTAAACTCAAATCGGTGAAATGAACGGGACCTTGATTCATAATTTTTTTAGTCAAATAATTATACTAATAAAAAAGTATTTATCAATAATAAAATATAAAGGTCTAGATTCATACACTCTCAAAAGTAAATTCTCTATTTTTTCTTTAACTATACATCTAAATGTCAATTTAAACCACACAGTTTAAATTTTTCTGTTCAAATCAAAAAGTTCAAACGAACAAAATTCAAACTAGTGAATTAAACGAATGCTAAATTAAACTGCTTAACTCAATTCAAATGAGAAATATAATTCAAATTATATGCTTATTAAATATTAATTTAAACTACACTCATTATTAAAATTAAGTTAAACAGAACTACATCAGTAAAATAAACAGTCTTTTCTTTGAAATAGCTAGTTAAAAAATTGAGGTGTCATATGTCACGTGGTCACTTTTCCAGCGGATTAATTTATAATTGAGTCACTAATTAGCACGTATATATTTATAGCGCCACTTATCCGCCGCCGCATATCATAGCACGAGCTGGTGAATTGAATTTGAGCGGCTCAGGACCTTTCATATTTTTCATACACATCTCGACGGCTGCATGAGAGATTTTGCGTTGCTCAAGGCATTTCTAATGAAAGTTTTATCTGAATAAGGAAATTTAAAAAAAACAAAAAAAAAAAAAAAAAAAAAAAAAAGGAGAATCTTAAAATCAATTAAAAAAGTTTTTCACTGAATTGTAATGTATAGAATTCGAATCTCAGTTCCAAATAACCCTTAATAATAGTCTACCAAACTTCAAAAGTGATATCGAACCGAATGCACACCATTGATTTTTAGTTTATAAATTTGAATTGATAATTTTGTTTTTACTGTCAATAAGCGATTTATTAAAATAAATCAATCAACGATTAAATCAATAATTCAAAAAAAAGGTAAAAATTCTTAAAAAGTTACAAATTTTGTTAAAATAGATAATCCTTTTTCTTGTTACACGATTGCAGCATCCTCATACATCTGATTACCACCGTCACCAACATATATCTATTATTGATGCAATTAATAGTTTTTAGTATTTGATTAGGCCCGTAAATTTCCCCCAATTTAGTAGTTTCTTTTCCAAAATTTTATTTATGACAACTTAATCCTTGATTTTACAAAGTAAAAGTGATTTAGACCAATCAAATAGATGTTAACTTCTGACCGAAAAAATTATAATTTTTAGAGTCCGTTTGGAAGGCATACTCAAATAATGATTATTAGTTTTAACGTTTGAAATTTCAAATTTTTTGTGAGAGAAAAATACTATAGCAGAATCAATGATTTGAGTTTGAGTATATGAAATAAACGAATCCTTAGTGGTTGTGAACCCAGGTATTAGCGCTTGAGATTTGAGAGTAAAACAAAAAACAAAAAAACAAGAAACATGCGCTTTGGGCCTTTGTAGGATTTTACGTTCTCAAGAAATATCACGTTAAACACTTTGTCGTGCCTTGTTGGGTATTTATAATTTTTTTAAAAAAATTTTGATAAATACTTTTTAAAAATATATGAATTTTATTCTTGCGGTCCGTTTAGTTCACTGATTTAAGTTTTTAATTTGAGTAGAGATGTGACTTTATGTGAAAGTTTTTTACTGGTAAAAAAATTAAATGTGACTGTTTCTGAGATATTTTTACTGTAGTAAAACTCAAATTTTAAACTCAAATCGGTGAAATGAACGGGACCTTGATTCATAATTTTTTTAGTCAAATAATTATACTAATAAAAAAGTATTTATCAATAATAAAATATAAAGGTCTAGATTCATACACTCTCAAAAGTAAATTCTCTATTTTTTCTTTAACTATACATCTAAATGTCAATTTAAACCACACAGTTTAAATTTTTCTGTTCAAATCAAAAAGTTCAAACGAACAAAATTCAAACTAGTGAATTAAACGAATGCTAAATTAAACTGCTTAACTCAATTCAAATGAGAAATATAATTCAAATTATATGCTTATTAAATATTAATTTAAACTACACTCATTATTAAAATTAAGTTAAACAGAACTACATCAGTAAAATAAACAGTCTTTTCTTTGAAATAGCTAGTTAAAAAATTGAGGTGTCATATGTCACGTGGTCACTTTTCCAGCGGATTAATTTATAATTGAGTCACTAATTAGCACGTATATATTTATAGCGCCACTTATCCGCCGCCGCATATCATAGCACGAGCTGGTGAATTGAATTTGAGCGGCTCAGGACCTTTCATATTTTTCATACACATCTCGACGGCTGCATGAGAGATTTTGCGTTGCTCAAGGCATTTCTAATGAAAGTTTTATCTACAACGTCTACAAGTTGCACAGCTAACTCAAATGTTTTATCTTATACCCTTTAAATTTTTCATTTTAGATATGATCTTTTCTCAAGCATATTATGCACGCCTTACCACAACGCTAGTAGACACACAGTTGTGCGACTAAGGAGATTGAAAAGAAACCAAAAAAAAAAAAAAAAAAAAAAAAGGAGAATTTTAAAATAAATTAAAAAAGTTTTTCACTGAATTGTAATGTATAGAATTCGAATCTCAGTTCCAAATAACCCTTAATAATAGTCTACCAAACTTCAAAAGTGATATCGAACCGAATGCACACCATTGATTTTTAGTTTATAAATTTGAATTGATAATTTTGTTTTTACTGTCAATAAGCGATTTATTAAAATAAATCAATCAACGATTAAATCAATAATTCAAAAAAAAGGTAAAAATTCTTAAAAAGTTACAAATTTTGTTAAAATAGATAATCCTTTTTCTTGTTACACGATTGCAGCATCCTCATACATCTGATTACCACCGTCACCAACATATATCTATTATTGATGCAATTAATAGTTTTTAGTATTTGATTAGGCCCGTAAATTTCCCCCAATTTAGTAGTTTCTTTTCCAAAATTTTATTTATGACAACTTAATCCTTGATTTTACAAAGTAAAAGTGATTTAGACCAATCAAATAGATGTTAACTTCTGACCGAAAAAATTATAATTTTTAGAGTCCGTTTGGAAGACATACTCAAATAATGATTATTAGTTTTAACGTTTGAAATTTCAAATTTTTTGTGAGAGAAAAATACTATAGCATAATCAATGATTTGAGTTTGAGTATATGAAATAAACGAATCCTTAGTGGTTGTGACTTGTTAATTTCTCGTAGTTTTATGTATGCTAGAATTTGACCAGTAATTATTTGAGTGTACGCACCTTAGGGCTGCATGAGAAGTTAGATATACTGAAAAAAAAAAAAAAAATCAATTGTGAAGGAGTAAGGCATAGAGCCAAGAAAATGGCAAAATAATCTTTTTGACATTAAAGTGTGGATAAAATGGTCATTTTGACCTTAGGCTGTATTCTTATGTTTTGGACCACAGTGTGGACTATTTTAAGGTTAGAATAAGAAAGCAAAAATTTGGTCAATTGAGTATGGTTTGTCTACCATGAGTCCGGTTACCTATGGTTATCCACTAGGTTACCAATTAAAGACGGAGCCTAATTTAGAACTTAGTGAACTCTCACTCCTTATCAACATTTCAAGCCCAACAAATATAGGCCCATGCTTTTTTTCGTGAGCCAATCAGGTCAAAGATTAACACCGTAAGGCCGTCTATTTAAGGAGATTAATCTTTCGCCAACCGACAATTAAGGTAGATAATTAGCTAGAAATTAATTTATATTAAGTTCATTAGTCATTATCACATGATTAGTAAACTCTTAATCAGTAGTGAATTAATTAATTAATTAAAAATCCCATAATTAATTAAGGATAAATTAACATTCTAATTAACAATTAATTAGAGAATACTTTTTAATTAAGTATTGATTAATTAAGATGGTTTATAGTAATTAAATTAATTAAGAATTACTTTTTAATTAATTATTGATTAATGAGAAAATGATTGTAATTAGTTTTTAAGTAATTAATCTGGTCAAGCGATTAAAATTCATAATTAACTAATGGTTAATCATAGACGAAAACATTAAATTATTATTTAATCATTAATTAAAGATAAAAATATTAATTTATTTGAAATGAATAACTAATTAATGATTCAATTAGCAGTTAACCAATTAATTTAAAAAGGTTATTTGACAATGATTAATACTAATTTGGCACTG